TGTAGAAACTGACTAAAAACTGTTTTAAATACGACTGGGCGAAGGTGAAAATAAATAAAGGGGTGTGATATCCACACACCTCGTTTTACTTCTCACACACGTTTTTAATTTTCGGCCGTTGGATCGGATGAATTAAAAAGTTCAACGGACATAAATTACTTAGAGGTGTGAGAGAAGTAAAATAGGGTGTGTGGATAGCACCCCCAAAATAAATGAAATAGAAAAGGATACGATCAGTACTTAGATACCGATTGTTATAAAAATCTATCGCTAGCGTATTAGCAATAGTTTTTAGTACAAATTGCTAGCTTCATACCGAACGCCTCTTTTCAAAATTTTCAAGTTTTTTGTTTTATGGTTTATGTTTATTTTAGTTCCGTTACCATAACAACAAACTATCAAACTCATATTCTTCAAAATATATTTTTTAGTGCAAAATCTATTATCGTACATATTTAAGCACTTGTAATCTACGATTAAAGATATTTGAATTTAATAGTTGTTACTCAGATAAAGTAATGTACGAAGAAAAAACTCAAAGGAATAAACAAAAAAGCAGAAAATAAATTTAAAAAATGGAATTGGGAAAGATCGATACAACGCTACCGATCCACGCCTATTCGTATTTAAATCATCGTTCAATCTATTTATTTTCACCTTCGCCCAGTCGTATTTAAAACAGTTTTAAGTCAGTTTCTAGAACTTCGTACATAAATCATTGTTAATTTTTCACATTCACCTCACCATGTAATTTGAAGACTATAGTAATACTTTTTGTTATATTCTTGAGGGTGGAACACCATTTTAACAATGTTTTGGGCCTACCTACTATATTTTTTTCACTTATTTTTTTAGTTTCAACTTAAATAGTTTACTAAATATACATTTGTTGCTCAATAAATCGTAAACTTGCTCCCAAATAAATAAAGGGGTGTGATATTCACACACTTCATTTTACTTCTCACACATGTTTTTAATTTTTGGCCGTCGAATCGGATGAATTAAAAAAGATCAACAGACAGAAATTATCAAAAGATGTGAGAGAAGTAAAATAGGATGTGTGGATAGCACACCCCAAAATAAATGAAATAGAAAAGGATACGATCAGTTACTTGATACCGATTGTCAGCAAGAACTGTCGCTAGCGCGTTAGCAATAGTTTCGACTATGAATCGCTAGCTTTATACCGAACTCCTCTTTTCAACATTTTCAAGTTTTTTGTTTTATGCTTTATGTTTATTTTAGTTTTGTTACCATAACAACAAACTATCAAACTCATATTCTTCAAAATATATTTTTGAATGCAAAATCTATTATCGTACCTACTTAAACACTTGTAATCAACGATTAAAGATATTTGAATTTAATAGTGGTTACTCAGATAAAGTAATGGACGAAGAAAAAACTCAAAGGAATAAACAAAAAAGCAGAAAATAAATTTAAAAAATGGAATTGGGAAAGATCGATACCACGCTACCGATCCTCGCCCAGTCGTATTTAAAACAGTTTTAAGTCAGTTTCTAGAACTTCGTACATAAATCATTGTTAATTTTTCACCTTCACCTCACCATGTAATTTGAAGATTATAGTAATACTTTTTGTTATATTCTTGAGGGTGGAACACCATTTTAACAATGTTTTGGGCCTACCTACTATATTTTTTTCACTTATTTTTTTAGTTTCAACTTAAATAGTTTACTAAATATACATTTGTCGCTCAATAAATCGTAAACTTGCTTCCAAATAAATAAAGGGGTGTGATATTCACACACTTCATTTTACTTCTCACACATGTTTTTAATTTTTGGCCGTCGAATCGGATGAATTAAAAAAGATCAACGGACAGAAATTATCAAGACGTGTGAGAGAAGTAAAATAGGATGTGTGGATAGCACACCCCAAAATAAATGAAATAGAAAAGGATACGATCAGTTACTTGATACCGATTGTCAGCAAGAACTGTCGCTAGCGCGTTAGCAATAGTTTCGACTATGAATCGCTAGCTTTATACCGAACTCCTCTTTTCAAAATTTTCAAGTTTTTTGTTTTATGCTTTATGTTTATTTTAGTTCTGTTACCATAACAACAAACTATCAAACTCATATTCTTCAAAATATATTTTTGAATGCAAAATCTATTATCGTACCTACTTAAACACTTGTAATCAACGATTAAAGATATTTGAATTTAATAGTGGTTACTCAGATAAAGTAATGCACGAAGAAAGAACTCAAAGGAATAAACAAAAAAGCAGAAAATAAATTTAAAAAATGGAATTGGGAAAGATCGATACCACGCTACCGATCATCGCCCAGTCGTATTTAAATCATCGTTCAATCTATTTATTTTCATCTTAGCCCAGTCGTATTTAAAACAGTTTTAAGTCAGTTTCTAGAACTTTGTACATAAATCATTGTTAATTTTTCACCTTCACCTCACCATGTAATTTGACGATTATAGTAATACTTTTTGTTATATTCTTGAGGGTGGAACGCCATTTTAACAATGTTTTGGGCCTACCTACTATATTTTTTTCACTTATTTTTTTAGTTTCAACTTAAATAGTTTACTAAATATACATTTGTTGCTCAATAAATCGTAAATTTGCTTCCAAATAAATAAAGGGGTGTGATATCCACACACTTCATTTTACTTCTCACACATGTTTTTATTTTTTGGCCGTCGGATCGGATGAATTAAAAAAGATCAACGGACAGAAATTATCAAGACGTGTGAGAGAAGTAAAATAGGATGTGTGGATAGCACACCCCAAAATAAATGAAATAGAAAAGGATACGATCAGTTACTTGATACCGATTGTCAGCAAGAACTGTCGCTAGCATGTTAGCAATAGTTTCGACTATGAATCGCTAGCTTTATACCGAACTCCTCTTTTCAAAATTTTCAAGTTTTTTGTTTTATGCTTTATGTTTATTTTAGTTCTGTTACCATAACAACAAACTATCAAACTCATATTCTTCAAAATATATTTTTGAATGCAAAATCTATTATCGTACATATTCAAACACTTGTAATCAACGATTAAAGATATTTGAATTTAATATTTGTTACTTAGATAAAGTAATGTACGAAGAAAAAACTCAAAGGAATAAACAAAAAACAGAAAAATAAATAAATAAAAATGGAATTGGGAAGGATCGATACCACGCTACCGATCCTCGCCCAGTCGTATTTAAATCATCGTTCAATCTATTTATTTTCACCTTCGCCCGGTCGTATTTAAAACAGTTTTTAGTCAATTTCTACAACTTCGTACATAAATCGTTGTTAATTTTTCACCTTCACCTCACCATGTAGTTTGAAGATTATAGTAATACTTTTTGTTATATTCTTGAGGGTGGAACGTCATTTTAACAATGTTTTGGGCCTCCCCACTATATTTTTCACTTATTTTTTTAGTTTTCGACTTAAATAGTCTACTAAATATATATTTGTTGCTCAATAAATCGTAAACTTGCTTCCAAATAAATAAAGGGCTGTGATATTCACACACCTCATTTTACTTTTCACACACGTTTTTAATTTTCGGCCGTTGGATCGGATGAATTAAAAAAGATTAACGGACATAAATTACTAAGAGGTGTGAGAAAAGTAAAATAGGGTGTGTGGATAGCACCCCCAAAATAAATGAAATAGAAAAGGATACGATCAATACTTAGATACCGATTGTTATGAATAACTGTCGCTAGCGCATTAGCAATAGTTTCTACTACGAATCGCTAGCTTCATATCGAACGCCTCTTTTCAAAATTTTCAAGTTTTTTGTTTTATGGTTTATGTTTATTTTAGTTCTGTTACCATAACAACAAACTATCAAACTCATATTCTTCAAAATATAATTTTTAGTGCAAAATCTATTATCGTACATATTTAAACACTTGTAATCAACGATTAAAGATATTTGAATTAACTTAAGAAAAGCTAACATAAAAAAATAATAAAAAAATCTATGACCGAAATGTAGCTTTTGTTTCTTGAATAAAAAATCTATTGAAATTGGTATATGCATTTCACAAAAAATGAAGCATTGGTTATTGATGCCAAAGTCTGAGAATTTTCATCAAAATCAAGGACGTGCTATTAATGGATAATTGTGGTGTTCCCGATTTACTCGTTAAAAGGATCCCATGTGATTCGATGGAAATTATTAGGGAGTTGACGTCAAAGACCAATGCTCAAAGTTTTGTCAAATTTAGATACCAATTTTAATTGATTTGGAAATTATTGGGGAGTTGGCATCAAAGACCAATGCTCAATGTTTTGTGAAATTTAGATGCCAATTTTAATTGACATTAGAGTAGACAAAGCTACGAATCGATCATAATTTTGAGATCCATACTACAAATTTTCTTCATATCTATGGAAAAAAGATGAAATCTTTAAAACAAATAAGTTGAGATTTAATGTGGTGTTTTTTTTTTCTCTGAGAGATCACTACCTCAGATTTAGTTGACAAAATATCCCCAAAGTGTTTCATTTGTTCAGCGGGTGAATGCTTGTCAGTCTCAGCTCCCAATATTGCAGTAGGAACCTTAACCTCTGCATAAACATGTCCTTCAACCTTAATCAATCGGTTACAATTGATTTTTACTTCACTTTGTTGAAATTATGTCAACTTCGTAAAAAATAGGCGGAATGTTAGGAAAGAGGAATGCGACACTTATGCTCGGATTTGGATCCTCTCCTGAGCAGGGGGTCCGAATCCTCCTGACCCAATAACACGGACAGTTGAATTTTGATCCAACAGCTACAAACAGAGGGTTCCTCTAAAAGTTATAATAATTGTAGCCGTTGGATCAAAATCCAACAGCCCGTGTTATAGGGTCAGGAGGATTTGAACCCTCTGCTCAGGAGAGGATCCAAATCCCTTATGTTCGACAACCAAAAATACCCTTCTCTCTTTTGCTTTGATGGACCCCATATAATCAAAACTTTTGCTATGTTAAAATTGACAGAATCTCATAAAAGTGGAGCAGAAATTGAGTTTCAAGGTGTAAAATGACGATATTTTGTTCTAGCAAAAAAGTGAAATCGAATTTGAGTTCCAAGTTGTATACCAAAAAAATAAGCCTGTCAATTATTCTTGTTTTGGTACAACCAACCAACTTTTCACTTGACATACTTGGTAAGCCAATTTAACATGTCCAAATGAGCCTCCTCAGCTCTCTTGACTGCCATTTCATCCTCAGAATTGTACTTTGTTGTCCATCCATGAGCCGCTCCAGGATATATTTTCACAAAGCTATCAAACAGCTGCAAACATTGCATATCATGGAGTGAATTTTAATACAAAAAGCACAATTTGAAAAACCAAAGTAGTGTGATTATGATTATACTTAGAGTGAATAGGACCATTGGTTCTTAAACTATGACCGAAATTTAGCTTTTGGTTCTTGAATAAAAAATCTATTGAAATTGGTATATGCATTTCACAAAAAATGAAGCATTGGCTATTGATGCCAAAATCTGTGAGAAATTTCATCAAAATCAAGGACGTGCTATTAATGGATAATTGTGATGTTCCCGATTTACTCGTTAAAAGGATTAGGGAGTTGACGTCAAAGACCAATGCTCAAAGTTTTGTCAAATTTAGATACCAATTTTAATTGAATTGGAAATTATTGGGGAGTTGGCATCAAAGACCAATGCTCAATGTTTTGTCAAATTTAGATGCCAATTTTAATTGACTTTAGAGTAGACAATGCTACGAATCGATCATAATTTTGAGATCCGTACTACTAATTTTCTTTATATCTATGGAAAATCTTTAAAACAAATAAGTTGAGATTTAATGTGGTGTTTTTTTTTCTCTGAGAGATCACTATTAAGGAAGGAATCACAGAATTGGTTAAGTAAATATTGTAAATATTTCTTTAATTATTTACTTACTTGTTTTGTATTTTGACTGCCTTGTTTATAGGCTTTAGTATAGGATCCAAGTTAGAGTGCGACTCTATATAATGTTGTAACCCTAGTTCTTTCAATAACAAGAAGAAGAAATTCAGCTATCATATTTCTTTAGATGGTACCAGAGAGTTGATCTGGGAAACACAACAAAACACAAAAAGCCACCCAAGCCGACGCAGCCATGGGTGAGAAACCAGAAACACAAATAACTTCTTCAGGCATAGCCTCACATCTAAAGTGGGAAAACCCAAACCACCCACTCTATCTCCATCATTCGGACCAGCCTGGTGCAGTTCTCGTACCGCAGCCATTGGTGGAAGATAATTATGGTACATGGGTTCAATCCATGACAATGGCCTTAACGGTCAAGAACAAACTTGGACTTGTTGATGGCACAATCAAGAAACCAAGTGAGGACAAACACGAAGAGTTGCAACAATGGAATCGATGCAACACTTTAGTCAAGACATGGTTATTGGGATCGATGTCCAAGGAAATTTCAGGAAGTGTTATCCATTGTAAGGATGCTCGTCAAATGTGGCTTGACTTGCAAGAAAGATTTTCTCATGTGAATATCGTACAACTTTTCCATTTAGAGAATGAAATCCACGATTGTGTGCAAGGAACCATGACCGTGAGTTCTTATTTCACCAAACTGAAAAGTCTTTGGGATGAACGGGATGTCCTATGCTCAATCCCAGCTTGTAGTTGTGAAACGAAGAAGGAGATTGCTTGTTACGTGGAGACTCAGAAAACCATGAAATTCCTCATGGGTTTGAATGACTCGTATGCCACTGTTCGTAGCAATACCCTTCTACTCGAGCCACTGCCCACGGTGAACAAAGCTTATTCCTTGGTTCTTCGTCATGAACGTCAACTAGAAATCTCTAATGGGAAAGGCACTGCCCAACCAGAGGCAGCAGTGTTTGCCGTGAAAACTACAAATCGGGAAGCCGAGTCTGAGGATCATGGGAATCGATGTTTGAAGTGCAACAAAACAAACCACACCACCAAAAATTGTCGGGCGCATCTCAAGTGCACATTTTGTGGATGGAAGGGTCACACCTTTGATTTTTGTCGTAAACGAAAGGCGGCTGCTGAGGTTGAACAAGGTCGTCCTTCCAAAGGCAACCAAGTCATGACAAATGCCAAAAGAGACGTGCTGCCAAACTTCCCTTTTTCCCAAGAGGATTGTAAGCAGATTCTGCAATTGTTAAACAAGAGCAAATCCTCCTCTTTCGTCAACCAAGTGGGTAATTCTTCAAACTCTGAAGAACTTTCAGGTAAAGCCTTCTCCTTTGTACGTAATGGACAGAAAACCGTTTGGATTTTGGATAGTGGAGCCACAGACCACATAGTATGTAGCCCTACCTTCCTTACATCCTTGAAACCTGTTGAAAACCGTACTGTTGAGTTACCCAACGGATCCCTTGCTACGGTCACCCATGTCGGACGAGTTGTTTTCTCTCCCCATCTTGTTCTTGATAATGTTTTATGTGTACCATTCTTTAAGCTAAATTTGATATCCATTAGCAAATTAGCCTATGATTCCCTGTACATTACCATTTTTCTAAAACAATTTTGTGTCATACAGGACCTACGCTCGGGGAAGATGACTGGGATGGGATTTGAACGGGAGGGACTCTATTATCTCGACCCACCAAAGAAAGGAACATGCAACACCGTTACCACCCTACCATCTACATTTTGGCACCAACGCCTTGGGCATCCATCGCACAAAGTATCCATGTTATTTCCCTTTTTGCACAATAAAACTTGTGATTCAAATAAATGTTTTATTTGCCCATTGGCCAAACAAACAAGATCATCTTTTTCATTAAGTTCTATCTCTACTCAGTCATGTTTTGAATTAATTCATGTTGATATTTGGGGTGGTTATCAAGTTGCGTCTCTTTCCGGTGCCAAATACTTTCTCACTATTGTCGATGATTATACTCGGTGCACATGGGTTTATTTGATGAAACACAAGTCTGACACCCAAAATCTCCTTGTTCAGTTCATTCACATGGTAGAAAATCAATTCAACACTAAGGTCAAAATCGTTCGAAGTGACAATGGTCCTGAGTTCAAACTAAACACATTTTACACTCTCAAAGGCATCATTCACCAAACTAGTTGCGTCAACACACCACAACAAAATGGTGTCGTTGAACGCAAGCATCGCCACTTGCTCAATGTTGCTCGATCCCTACTATTTCAAGCCAACCTTCCTAAACGTTTTTGGGGTGATGCCATCCTTACTTCGGCCTACCTCATCAATCGCACACCTACTCCTCTCCTTCAAGGGCAAACACCATATCAAAAATTGTTTCACAAAGAACCAACTTACACACACCTACGTGTTTTTGGCTGTTTGTGTTTTGCGTCCACCCATGCACAAAAACCTTCAAAATTTGACCCTCGTGCACGTCGTTGTATTTTTCTTGGTTATCCTTATGCGCAAAAGGGTTATAAGTTGTTTGATCTCACACTTCAACAGGTTTTTGTGTCACGGGATGTCATATTCTTTGAGGACCATTTTCCCTACCACACCTCCAATATTTCCGCTGTACCTAGTTCCTTGCCCAACCCCCCTTTTCCACCGTCACCGTGTGCTATGGATGTACCACCTCCCTCTTTGTCTTATGACACGTCTCCTATCCTACCCCATTCACTAGATTTGCTCACTGCACCGCCCACCGACCCTGCTCCCATGCATACTCATAATTCCAACCTTGCTCCCATGCATCATCATCCTTCCACCGATACCCCACTTTCCACCGACTCACCATCCACTACACCGACACCGTCCTCTACCCCTCTGGACAACAACCCCGCGTCACCAATCCCACCTCTTAACCCCAACCCCATTTGCCCCGTGGCTGCTATACCATCTGCACCACGACGTGGCACACGCCCTACCAAAATCTCCCAATTTTTGCAGGACTTTCACGTCGAGACATCTCTCCCGTCCAGACCTGCTCCTTCATCTTCCACGAATGTGGTCACGTCAACAGGTACCTCTCACCCTCTCTCTCACTTCTTATCTTACCACCGTCTCTCTTCACCCCACAGAACTTTTGTTGCTAACATCACAGCCATCCAAGAACCTACCACATTTTTGCAGGCTGTTCAAAATCCAAATTGGCGTGCTGCCATGAAGCACGAAATTGAGGCTCTTCAGGCCAACAACACTTGGTCTCTCGTCCCTCTACCCCAACACAAACGCCCCATCGGTTGCAAATGGGTCTATAAGGTGAAACTGAAACCTGATGGGACTATCGAGCGTTATAAAGCACGCTTGGTTGCGAAAGGTTACAGTCAGATCGAAGGTGTAGATTACAGAGAAACTTTTGCTCCTGTTGCCAAATTGACCACTGTTCGTGTCCTCCTTAGTGTGGCTGCTGTCCGTGGATGGCACTTACATCAACTCGACGTTAATAACGCCTTTTTACATGGTGACCTCGACGAAGAAGTTTACATGTGCTTGCCTCCTGGTTTCGGCCGAAAGGGGGAGACTCGAGTATGCAAGTTAAATAAATCCTTATATGGCCTAAAACAAGCTTCGAGGCAATGGTTCCTTAAACTTTCCAGTGCTCTCAAGGCTGCTGGTTTTCACCAGTCATGGTCTGACTACTCACTATTCGTCCGAAATCGTCAAGGTAACTTCATTGCTTTGCTAGTTTATGTTGATGATGTAATACTGGCCGGAAATAATTTGCAAGAAATTGAGGATACAAAGCAGTTTCTCTCGCAACAATTTAAATTGAAAGACTTGGGCAAACTCAAATATTTCTTGGGGATAGAGGTTGCGCGGTCCAAGCATGGCATAACCTTGTGCCAAAGAAAATATGCATTGGATATATTAGATGATGCGGGATTCTTAGGTGCCAAACCTTCAAGATTTCCTGTAGAGCAAAACATTTCTCTCACACAGACAGAAGGAAAGCTATTAGTTGATGCATCACCATACAGAAGGCTTGTAGGAAGATTAATCTACTTGACTATAACAAGGCCGGACCTAGCATATGCCGTCCACATGCTAAGTCAATTCATGGAAAAGCCTAGACAACCACACCTTGAAGCAGCACACAAAGTTCTCAAGTATATCAAAAGTGCACCTGGACAAGGTATTTTTCTACCCTCTACAGGATCATTGCAATTAAGGGCATTTTGTGATGCTGACTGGGCTAGATGCAAGGATACGAGGAGATCAATAACGGGTTATTGCATTCAGCTTGGTCAAGCACCGATTTCTTGGAAAACAAAGAAACAAACTACTGTATCTCGCTCCAGTGCAGAGGCAGAATACCGTTCCATGGCCACTACATGCTGTGAGATTACATGGTTGAAGAACATTTTAAAAGATTTGAAGGTGAATCATCCACAACCAGTCACTTTATTTTGTGACAATCAAGCAGCCATGTACATTGCTTCGAATCCGGTATTTCATGAACGGACGAAACACATAGAAATTGATTGCCATTTGGTAAGAGAGAAGATTCAAGAAGGAATGGTTCGTACAGTCTACATACGGACATCTGATCAACCAGCTGACATTTTTACCAAGCCATTGAGTTCAACACAATTTGAAACACTACTCAGCAAGTTGGGTGTCATTAACATACACTCCAACTTGAGGGGGAGTATTAAGGAAGGAATCACAGAATTGGTTAAGTAAATATTGTAAATATTTCTTTAATTATTTACTTACTTGTTTTGTATTTTGACTGCCTTGTTTATAGGCTTTAGTATAGGATCCAAGTTAGAGTGCGACTCTATATAATGTTGTAACCCTAGTTCTTTCAATAACAAGAAGAAGAAATTCAGCTATCATATTTCTTTAGATACCTCAGATTTAGTTGACAAAATATCCCCAAAGTGTTTGATTTGTTCAGCGGGTGAATGCTTGTCAGTCTCAGCTCCCAATATTGCAGTAGGAACCTTAACCTCTGCATAAACATGTCCTTAAACCTTAATCAATCGGTTACAAATAGTTGTGTTCAGATTAAATAGCAGGGACACAAAACTTACGATCGATTTCCTCATCTGTTAATCGACCAGGATGCAGTATTACAGCGGCCTGAATCTCATCGGTTTTCCCTAGTTTCACCGCCACATTCCCTGAATCAAATGGTTGCAACGCACATTTTATCAGATTAACCACTTCATGTTCTCTATCAACAAGTAGTTCATCCGAACGTTGAAAATTTTAACTACCTCCCCAGCAAAAGCCTGCAGCTCCGATGGCGGAAACGCCTTGACTCTTCAGAGCAGCAATCAACGGTTTTGCATCTTCACATCCTCTCTCCTAAAGCATTCCAAAAGACATATAAGTGGTACATAAAATCCATCCAAGTGTTCTATTTCTGCTTTACTTTCAGAGCCGGAAATGTCTAATTGTAAAATGGTACCGTGCTATGAATTTTGAACCATATCTCAGCATCAAACTGCGGGTTAGCGGGATTAACAGGGTCGCCATAAAAGAAATCAGGAACTACCGCCAAAAATCCGGCTGCAGCAACTTTATCCGCTATTTTCCTTCTCAGGAAAATATATATATATACACACACACATGTGAATACTTTCATTTCATGTAATAAGTAATTAATTAGTTAATAGAATCTACTTCTTGAGAAAAACTTGCATGTATCCGTTTCATGAAATGCGTCTTTCACATATAAGCAATAAAGCAAATGTGAAAGATCGACCGTTTCATAAGACGGAGTGTCGATAAGACATAATTGGTTAATCAAGCAAAAGAAATAATTGGGGAAAAGAATCGTACCTCAGATTTAGGTTTTCATAGCCTGCAAAATCATAACACAAACGAACGAACCAACATTGTTACAAAACAATATACTTCCATAAATTTCAAAATTTTAACTTAAAAACAAGTTAATGAAAAAAGGTTGATACCCCAAATATCGGAGATGAGAAGGATTGCAAGCTTGGATTCAGATGGGCCAGCGACGTAGGTCGTAAGGCCCCCAAGTTGTAGGAGAGTCCCAGGTCCGGAGGTTGAGCTCAGTGGCGGCGGGTTGTTGAAGCATTCACTGTTAGTTGCCATTTTTGGAGTTTGGGATGTTATTCGGACGAGTGTTTCCAGACAGTGCGCAGCAGAAAAGTTGACTATATATCAATTTTTTTTGGGTGGGGGAGGGAGGGAGCGAGGGAGGGAGGTGACAAACGTCAGTTCCTATGTGTCACAGAAAGATCCTTTGCTACTTTCTAAAATTATTAAAAAGTGGCGGCTTGGCCTATGAAAGAGAATCAAATATTTTCATATGACAGTGTACTTATAGTATCACTATCAATCAGAAAAGAAAAATAATATTCTCACGCTTAAGACGAAAAATGATTCCAGCATACTTTATTTTTTCCTTCAATTATTCAACACGCTTTATTTAATTCCCTTTTTTTATTTATCAATCCTAGTGGGTAGCTAAAAAAAGAAATAAGCTTGTGCATGAAGACAAAAGCAATAGATGAAAATCGCTATCCTAAAAAGTTTGAGTGGAAGTTTCCATGCATCGGAGTCAAATGTCACAGTGACGCTATTATTAATGTTGGACATTTTTAGGCTCATATAACAGCATATGTTGGAAGAAAATCATGAAAAAGCTCAAGGAAGAATTGAGAAGCCCAAGGCCCAAGGGATTTAGAAGAGAATATTCCAGAGCACTAAAGTCAACTGTCTATGAGCTCATCCTGACAAGGATACATGAAGAGTTTTTCGACTGTCAGGGGCACGTGGGCAGGCTGACAACTTTATAGCACAAGTTTCTAGGAACAAGTCTATCCAAATGTTAATCAGGGCATGTGGCGCCCCATAGTCAAAGACCTAGGATGAAACATAAAGGTGTTTGGGACGGCGCTCAGAGAGACAGGGTTGGATAACCCAAGGTCGAGCATCCTGCTCAGCCCGCATCACTCTAAAAAGGCGTGCCATCTCGACTAGACACATGTTACTTCATTGCCGAATATCTAGTTGATAGGTAAAAATATGTCAGTATGCTAGTCTACGTAGGTGACACATTAAATGCCAACTTGATAAAACTCAAGACTGAGGGTGAGGTCCTATATAAAAGGATGGAACCTCCTGTATTGGGGTGGGACGACTAAAAGGAGGGAGAGTTCATGTATTAGCGGAGCGCAATTTTTAGTCTTAAAATCAATATAACCCGAGCAGCACAATGGATGTAATGTAACTTTGAGTGGTGAACTACTTAAATCTTTGATTTTTTAACCTGCATATTTTGAACGCTAAAAGCTGCAAAAGAAAAAGTTCCACTAAAATTTTAAGAACATTTTATCAAAATGGTGTTTTTTTTTAAAAGCATATAAATTCGAAACTGTCTCTTAGAATTTTATTTATTTATTTTTTTTTGTCTGTAAACTAAAGACATGTAATTACTAAATAATTTCTTAATTTATTTACTTTATTATAAACAAATATTGAATTTCTCAAAAAAAAAAAATTGAAAACTGAATCTTTTTTTAAAATAAAAAAATAAACAACTCACTTCTCATCGTAATGTAGATATTATTGTATGTATTAAAAAAAAAAAAAAATTAAGAATTCAATAGTGTCACTTTGAACTTACACAAATGTAACAATTAGAACTTTTTCGAAATACCTCCATATTGTGTCCAAAATTCATATGAAAATCAACCATATCCAGACATCTTGAAGTGAGACAACGGTGTATTTTTTGCGGTTTCAGACAAAATAAATAAAATAAAAAACCGGGCAAAGTTGGGTCGTTTTTAGGGAGCCCAGTTCTCATAAAGCAAAAGCCAGTGGCCCAACCCGTGTTCCAATACGTCGCCGTTTTACACAATTTCCGTGCCATTCCCAGCTGGAATCCAAATATCAAGCACCATGCACGAAATCAAACAAAAAGAAATTAAAAAAAAATAAAAATAAAAATCTATCTGCGACCGGCCTTTTATGATAGGCTGTCCCATCAAAATCCAACCACGTCACTGATTTTTTTCTTCCGCGGAGGTTTTTGTAGGGTTTCTCTCCAACCCCAACAAAACCCAGTAACTGCAAAAAAATGGGTTCTCTGGAAAATGGGACGGAGAGGGGAAATGGAGAAGAAGAAGTAACAGAGCAGGAGGAGGAGCCGATATTAATGGAGCAGACGCAGAGGTTTTGTATGTTTCCTGTTCGTTACAAGCAGGTGTGGGAGATGTACAAGAAGGCCGAGGCCAGTTTCTGGACTGGTAACTTGTTCATGTTTCCTGTTCGATTCTCGTGTTTCTTGTGAATTTTTGGTGCTTTTTTATTGCTTATGTGAATGTGTTCTGACGTGGGTTTCTGTTAGTTTCTTAAATTTCATTAATTTTGTGGAATTTGTACTTTGAAAGCTTGGTTCTTTCATATTTATGATTTAGAATTTGGGCTTTTATTTGTTATTTTATCTGTGTAATATTAGTGTTTTTCACTCTGTTTGTATTGGAATTTAAAGAGATAAGTGGGGAAGTGGGAGTTTAATGCTTTTTGTTTTGGTTTCAAAATTCAGTTGTTGGACTGAAAACTTGTTCAAATTTCCCTCTTTGTAACAAACAACAAGGATTCTCATGTTTCAAGTGACTTTGGTTTTTTTATTATTTTTTAAATTGCTTATCTGTATGTGTTTTGAAGTGGGTGTCTCTTTATTTTCCAAAATTTCATTCATTTTTGTATTTGTATCTGTACGACATTAGTGGTTTTAATTTGGCTTTGTATTTCTAAATGAAATTTGAGGTGGGATTTTCTGGTACTTTTGTTTTGGTTGCAACGTTTTTTCAGTTGTTTAACTTATCGCTTGGATATGGTTACTGTGGGTGTCCTTTTACTTTACTGGGTCCGTGCTTTAGTTTAAGATTGTACTTATGGGGTCTGTTTTGTTTCTCTGAAGGGGAACATATTTGGGATTTTCTTCCTCTCTTTCTCTTAGTTCATTATACATTGGTTGTTTATGGAGTCATACATAAACAAGATTGTAAAGACTTATGGAAGTCCAACAAAATGGGAACATGTTTGAGCATAAACTCTTTGGGGGCTGCGAATTTCAACTGCAATGTATAAGTAGGTAGTATTGTCTGTGATTTACTTGGCTTGTTGTGTTTGTGGTAAATAGCACTGGTATGTAAGAACCCTGAGTTTAGAATCTCGAACATATGATCTTTTCGCCTTGCGCTAGGCAGATCTAGTCTTTGGCAGCTGTGGTTAAATTATTGCTTAGAATGTCTGCATAAGGTCTGCATTTCAGTCATTTGATGCCTTATGTTACACTGTTGAGTAGTTTTGTTTTTTCCACACAGTACGTGCTAATGACATGTTAATTGGCTTACAGCTGAGGAGGTTGACCTCTCCCAGGATGTACAACAGTGGGATGCTTTGTCCGACTCTGAAAGACACTTTATAAGCCATGTCCTTGCATTTTTTGCTGCATCTGATGGGATCGTTTTGGAGAATTTGGCTGCAAGATTCTTAACTGATGTTCAAATTCCTGAGGTGATTTCTTTTTATGGTCTGTTCTTTATGGATAAGAGTGTTTCACGTCTCCCCCAATTTCATCCATAATTTTTGAACTGTTGATGGCTTTCCAATTAATTAGACTAATATTCCATTTTGTTTTCTCCTAGTTGGCTTACTAACATCAAGGCTTCTCATCCTTCACAGGCTCGGGCATTCTATGGATTTCAACTTGCAATGGAGAATATTCATTCAGGTAGAATTTTGAACATAGTTTCCTTGGTTCCTCTATTTGTAATGTATGTGGCCACCTGTCTAAGGAGATTTCTTTTTGTTTCTTTTTTTAAATACTGTCTCCCATCAGAGATGTACAGCTTGCTTTTGGAGACATACATCAAGGATTCCACGGAGAAGCATAGATTGTTCAATGCAATTGAAAGCATTCCTTGTGTGTCTAGGAAGGCTAAGTGGGCTTTGGATTGGATACACAGGTATAAGCAGAGATGACACATCTTTGGGTTTGAAGTGCTTTATAATTTCCAGTGTTGGAGATATTATTTTTTTAATAGTTGGAGTTGTTTGTGAATGATGTATGTGATCATGCATGGTAAAACTCTGGTACTTGACGTGTTTACCTACTAGGTCCTTTCAAAAATCAAATGTTAAGATTTTGTTGAGTAGAGAATGGATTGTATTTGTCCTGAGAAGTGTAGGATGGCCATTTATAGCAAACTCCGGAATATAACATGTGCACCAATTTGAACTTCCTTGTGTGTGATATCGTATGTGGCTACTGTTGGTATATACATAATTTAACCATGTATTATTTAGTTTCTAACAAAACGAAGAGCTTCCTCTGTATTCTCTGTTGTATGATATGTTGATATCACAAGATTTAAACTGAGTACCATCTGCTGCACTGTGCAAATTTAGAAGTGTCCTTCTGTACCCTGTCTGCTTGTTATCATCAAGCTTCATGTGTAGTCTGTACATGATCTTTGTTTGATTAGAAGCAAGGCAGATGTTCCTTAAACCAATTGCTTGTTCTGCATGATGTGCAGTTCCAATTCATTTGCGGAGAGACTTGTTGCTTTTGCATGTGTTGAAGGAATCTTCTTCTCGGGAAGGTAATTTGGGCTTGCATTATATATGCTTGAGTTTATATGTTTAATACTTTTCGTTACAAGGCTTGTATGATCTTTTCTTTTGTTTTTGTCACCCTTTTCTCTCTTGTTTTTTACTTTATTGTTCATTCTCAGCTTCTGTGCCATATTCTGGCTTAAAAAGAGGGGACTAATGCCTGGGTTGACATTCTCAAACGAGCTTATATCTAGAGATGAGGGTCTTCACTGTGATTTTGCTTGCCTTTTGTATAGGTAATATCTATTTTCTTTCTGGTTCCCAATATTGAGCTTCATGCTCTGCTAGGCATATGATAATAGTTATTCGGTGTGGTTCCTCCTTCTTAGGACTCAATGGTTTATTATTTTTAGTCCTCGCAGAATCGGGGAATTGGAGAAACTTGGGTAAAAAAGAGAGATTTTAAAATTGTTTTCTTTTCTTCAGTATGTGAATGACGGAAACTTATTTGTTTTGTTCTTGTAGTTTGTTGCGGA